AATGGTCTTAAGAGACCCACATGTGATGTCCTGGTGCAGCTTTAAAGATCAGACAGTTGAATCTTCAGCTTAATCGTTAAACTGCCCAGTCTGTCCAGGCACACAGAAACTTGATTGGCTAGATTTTTGTTTGGGGTGCACTCCAGTCAATAAGACAGCTGACTTGCCTGTCAGCCAGTAGAGCTCCTGATCCTGCTACAGAAGTGTCTCTTCAGGCTGGTAGATGATAGCTGCCTGTTCATACAGCCACCCCTCCAGCCTTCAGAGGTATTCGAGACAATTTATGCATCCGAATCTGAGCTTTCACCTCTCACAAGTCATCTATAATTTTTACTCAGCCTGGAGTACTCCACCAACCAAAAGGAAGTTCAGCTCCACCCATATGTTACTACACCTCAAGCAGTTCTCTACTACTAGAGCAGCCACTCTGTTCCAGGAAGAGATTCAGTCTGCTCACTGTTCTGCTCTGATGATCCAAGGGAGTCTTGGATGGATTCAGATACTTTGCCACCCAAGTTTTGGACCCATAGGCAGAGTTGTTGGGCAAATACAGCCTTTCCTCCCACACCTCTAATCACAGATCTGATAGTCTTTTTTTCTTTTTTCTTTTTTTTAACCTTTTTTTAAATAGGAATTTTAGTCTCATTTTCCTTCAGTTTTTGAAAATTATTTATACATTAGGAATATTGATTTTCATATGGTGTATCTTGCAAATATTTTCTTCCACTTTGACATTTCTCAATTTTGTTTATACTATTTTTACCATAAAATATTTTTTTAATTTTATTATTTTATGTGTATGAGTGTATTGTCTGCATGTGCAACCATGTCATGAAATACCCATGAGGTCAGAAGAGGGTGTCAGATCCCCTGGAACTGGAGTTATGGATGGTTGTTAGCCACCATGTGAGTGCTGGGAATCAAATCTGGGTCTTCTGCCAAGAGCAGCCAGTGTTCTTAACTGCTGAGCCATCTCTCTACCCCCCCCCTTAAAAATATATTTATGTAGTTAAATCTCAGTCTTGTATTACATTTTGGTTATAGTTAGGAAGCTTTCTCTATACCCAGGTCTAGAGGTATTCACTCAGGTTTTCTTCTAGTATTTGTTATTCTAGTGTCTGTTATGCTATTTCTAGCTCTTTTATATTTAGAGCTGTATGCCATTTGGAGTTTATCCCTTTGTGTGCTGTAAAAGATCTAATTTTATCTTTTTGTTCCTCAAATAGCTTTATATTTCCTACAACTATTTAAAAAACCTGTCTTTTCCCCCAATAATTTGAGATATCATACCATCTATCATCAGTTTCTGTGTGTGGCTGGAATAATTTCTGGACATGTCTATTTATATACCACTAGCACACTGTAAATTATACAGGCACATTATTTAATTACAGGAAATGCTGATACTCAGTATGGCTAGTTCTCTCATACTTCTTCCTTTGCTTTTCCTTCCTAGCAACTTTTTCCATGTTTATTTTTGGAAATTAGGTTTTATGACTGTAGAAATCTCAACATCATTCCCTTCTGAGGAAATAGAGTTGGAGAGGCCAAAACTGAAAAGGAAATGAATGGGGTATGTTCCTGTTGTATGTGGGAATGGCAGAGTACAGATAAGGTGTGCTGTTGCTGAAGCTTCTGGATTACACTAATCCACCCATTAGCCCCACATTTTAAGGGTTGTGGACTGTTCTACCCAGAGTAATGCAGAAAGGCAGGGAGCTAGGCTGTGCTACCATTCCTCAGTGACCTCTTACCTAGGGCGTAACAGTCCACTTTCTCAGCTGAATCACTTTTTTGATTTAGTGTCTACTGAGTAATTATCTTCTAAATGGTCTCCTGAGCTTCTGCTTCTTCTATTCCTATAGGAGGCCATTATTCCTGTAGAAATAAGCTAGGTCGTAAATGCGATTTTTTTTTCTTTAAGTATTTCCTCAATATTTATTTAGGGTTAGGGTAGATAGAAACTCATTTTCTCTGAATGAAGAATGGATAAGTTTATCTTCAAAATAGAAATGATTTATTGTGGGCAATTTTTCAAGTTATATTAACTTCCAAGAGGGCATATTCAATCACATAAAGTTCCAATAATAAAGCAAATGACTGGGTTACTAGAAATAGCGTCACCCCATCTCAGGATTTTGTAGCCCCCAGACCTGTAAGAGGATACATTTCTGTTTTTAACTTTTACAGAAACTTTATTGAGAATTTCATACATGTATATAATGTGTTTTGATCAAATCCATGCCCACTCCCTTCCAACACCTCCCATATCTCCCTGTGTGGGATAGCTTTAGTGTCAACTTGACGCACCTGGGTTGAGGGAGCCTTAATTGGGGAATTTCCTTCATTGGACTGGCCTGTGACCATGTCCGTGGGGCACCTTCTTGATTGTTGAGTGATGTGGGAGGGCCCAGCCCACTGTGGGTGGCAGGTGGGCCTGTGTTGCATAAGAAAACTGAGCAGGGACCAGGGGAGCAAGCCAGTAAGCAGTGTTCTTCCATGGCCTGTGCTCCAGCTCCTGCTTCCAGGTTCCTACTCTGAGTTCCTATCTTGGGCTCCCTGATGAACCCTGACCCAGGATATGTAATATAAAATAAACCCTTTCCTCCCCAACCCCAAGTTGGTACTGGTCAGAGTATTTTTTCAGAGCAACTGAGAAACTAGAACACTCCCCATCACTTTTTTTTTTTCCTTCTTGCATTTATTTATTTTTATGGGGCTTTTGGCTACTCTAACATTCCCCCCTCTGACCAGGTAACTCTAAAATCTTTTAAGGCAGGTAACTCTAAAATCAAACACTTTTGACATTTTTAGCCTTTGGAACAGAGTATGTTCCTAACAGTCCCAAGGACATTTTGACTTTTAGCCAAGAAACTGGCTACTTTTCTTTGGGGTCTTTTTACCCTAACTGCGTAGCCAATTCCTACCTCCTTATCAAGCCATCCTCTGAAGGGGTTACCCAATAAATTGCCAATAGGGAATAGGGACACACCGCTCTGGTTTCTTCTGTGCTGAACAGAGGGACGCAGGGTGAGGCAATCAGCACTCAGGAGGCAGAGGCAGGCAAATCTCTGTGAGTTCAAGGCCAGCCTGGTCTATGTATTGAGTTCCTCGTCAGCTGGGGCTACATGGAGATCCTGTCAAAAAAAAAAAAAAAAAAAAAAAAAAAAAAAAAAAAAAAAAAAAAAAAAAAAAATGTGATTCTTTGCATATATTCTCTCCAAAGTATGTACCTTTTATTGCCCATTTCCTCTTCACATGGCATTACATACAGCGTTTTCTAAGTAAGAGTAACAATTTCAGAATAATATTCTGAAATGTTACCCAGGGTAAGAAGAGTTGATCCAAATTTTAATTGATTACAAATGCTTCATTTTTCTAAGGTTTGAGAATAACTTAGAACAGTTTCCTCTGAAGAGTTAGTATGTGAGAAGGTGGTGTTGATGGAATACCAGTCATGTAAAGTGCTTTCAAGAGAATGGGATCTCTTCCTGGATCCTAAAATTTACTTTGGGAAATTTGCCTTCTCTGCATCATGTGCTTTATTATATTTTTGACCCTGACACAATATCCTGACCTTTAATACTATAATAAATAATAAAATGAATACTATTAACATACTGCCCTCACCAAGGGACAGGTATTGTTCGTAGTGCTTTTACATGGCTGTCATTTAATGTTTATTTTTAAAAGATCAAGAAACTACTGTACAAAGAAGTTAAATAGCGTTCTCAAGGTAATCTAGTTATGTAGTTGAATCTAGGCAGTATTTTAGTCATGTTTTGGTTTGTGTGAGGTATTGGTTTCAACACCTTCCCATATAGCAGAATCTGCTACAGATGCTCAGGTCCCGTATTTAAAATAGTGTAGTATCACATTCCTTTATGTACATCATCCTTTATACTTTAAACCTTTAGATCGCATATAATGCCTAAAACAGTACAAAAGCAGTGTAAATCTTTGTTATGCTGTATTGTTTAAGGAATAATGATAAAAATAAAAAGGCTGTAATTTTCAGTACAAATACAATTTTGTTTTTCTGAATACTTTGACTGATCCCAATCTGAAAATGCAGAACCTGCAGATGTGAGAGGACAACTGTAACTCCTTGCAGCTCCATGATTTATGGGTTGGTTTCCTTTGTCCTGCCCCCTGCCCCCTGCCCCCCAGGACTCCCTTGAGACAAGGTTTCACACTGCAGTTCAGGCTGACCTGGAACTTGCAACAGTCTTCCTGCCTCAGCCTCCAAAGTGCTGGGATTAGAAGCTTGAGCCACACCTTGCTGTTTGTAATCTTTGGTACAGTCTATGATTACCTTATCCATAAATGAATGCTTCATTTAGTGGCAGGCTTGAAGCATGTTCTGCCATGTAAGTTCTTCCCCGATTATGTACTTTTCAAAGTCAATGTTTTTCTTGGGAGGAAAAGTCCAGAAGGCCATATCTACTCACAATACTACCGATTGCTTTCTTTCTCATCTTTTGTTGATTCTCTTTATGATTTCATAACCACAGCCATCTGTCTGATACCTCTACTCAGGTACTAATTTACCCTTTTCTTTGGCCCATTGTCTTCTACTGATGTGTAACTTTCCCAATTTAAGAAAGTTAACCTTGCTTTTGTTGTACTAGTTTTTTCTATCCTGTTTCTTCAGAGATTTCTTCTACTTTGTTTGTTTTTCCGTGATGAAGTGACATTGAGACTGTTCTGAGTTACCTGTGGTTCTGTGCATCATTCCTACCCATTTTAACTTATCTTCATGCTAGGCTGTTAATTCAGGAATTAAAAAACTCTTTGATTCATTGAAACTCCAAGGTTCTAGTTTTAACCATAGCTCTGAAGATACAGAGATCTTCTTATATCCCTCATTGTAGTCCCAATATTTGAAGTAGCTACCTACTACGTAGCATGCAAATATTTGTCAAGTGAGTCAATTGATTGTGATGTTATTCTTTCCGTTTTTTTCTTAACAAAATTAACAATTTTTTTCCTTGGTCTAGTGTCACATTTGAAGATGGGCATGGAGGATGAGGAATCAACTGAAAGTAATGAAAATATTCGAAATGCAGACTCTGAGTGGCCAAACGTGGGAAGTCTTCCTAAGGATCATGTGCAGAAATCTAAGATGGGTGAAACTTGTGATTGGGTAGAGAATCAATTGGAAATGCCTGCGTGGAAAATAATGAAGGAAGACAAAAGTAGCATCAGGGAAAAGACTGACAGACCTAAGAACATGACAGCTATAAAAACAGAACCGGAAGATGAGGCATATGAGAACAGTGTATACCTGAGTGGAAAAAACACTGTGTACCAGTCTATTCCTACCCAACCAAAAAGCAGTGAACAAGGTAAATGTGTGGAAAACATTAATGGAAACTTGCACTCCAGTCTACAACAGAAATCTCTTGCTATTAAGAAGTCACATAAATGTGATGAGTGTGGGAAATGCTTCAAATACAATTCTCGCCTTGTTCAACATAAAATTATGCACACTGGAGAAAAGCGCTATGAGTGTGATGACTGTAGAGGAACTTTCCGAAGCAGCTCCAGCCTTCGGGTCCACAAGCGCATCCACACTGGTGAGAAGCCCTATAAGTGTGATGAATGTGGGAAAGCATACATGTCCTATTCCAGCCTTATAAACCACAAAAGCACCCATTCTGGGGAGAAGAACTGCAAATGTGATGAGTGTGGGAAGTCCTTCAATTATAGCTCTGTTCTGGACCAGCATAAAAGGATCCACACTGGAGAGAAGCCCTATGAATGTGGTGAGTGTGGAAAGGCCTTCAGGAACAGTTCTGGTCTCAGAGTCCACAAAAGGATCCACACAGGAGAGAAGCCCTATGAATGTGACATCTGTGGAAAAACCTTCAGTAATAGCTCTGGCCTGAGGGTCCATAAAAGGATCCATACAGGTGAGAAACCCTATGAATGTGATGAGTGTGGGAAGGCGTTCATAACTTGCAGAACACTTCTAAACCATAAAAGCATCCACTTTGGAGATAAACCTTATAAATGTGATGAGTGTGAGAAATCTTTTAATTATAGCTCTCTCCTCATTCAGCATAAAGTCATCCACACTGGTGAAAAACCTTACGAATGTGATGAATGTGGGAAGGCCTTCAGGAACAGCTCAGGCCTCATAGTGCATAAAAGGATCCACACAGGAGAGAAACCTTACAAGTGTGACATCTGTGGCAAGGCATTCAGCTATAGCTCAGGCCTTGCAGTACATAAGAGCATTCACCCTGGAAAGAAAGCCCATGAATGTAAGGAGTGTGGTAAATCCTTTAGTTATAACTCACTTCTTCTTCAACATAAAACTATTCATACTGGAGAGAGACCTTATGTATGTGATGTGTGTGGCAAAACTTTCAGGAACAATTCAGGCCTCAAAGTCCATCGAAGGCTCCATACCGGGGAAAAACCATATAAATGTGATGTGTGTGGGAAGGCCTATATCTCACGCTCTAGCCTTAAAAATCACAAAGGAATCCATATGGGAGAAAAGCCCTATAAATGCAGCTATTGTGAGAAGTCCTTCAACTATAGCTCTGCCCTTGAACAGCATAAAAGGATTCATACAAGAGAGAAACCTTTTGGGTGTGATGAGTGTGGAAAAGCCTTCAGAAACAATTCAGGCCTTAAAGTACACAAACGAATTCACACTGGGGAGAGACCTTACAAATGTGAAGAATGTGGGAAAGCCTACATCTCACTCTCAAGCCTTATAAATCATAAAAGTGTACACCCTGGGGAAAAACCCTTTAAGTGTGATGAGTGTGAGAAAGCCTTCATCACATACCGAACCCTTCTAAACCACAAAAAAATTCATCTTGGAGAAAAGCCCTACAAATGCGATGTATGTGAGAAATCTTTTAACTACACCTCACTCCTTTCTCAGCACAAAAGAGTTCACACTAGAGAGAAACCCTTTGAATGTGACAGGTGTGAGAAGGTCTTCAGAAACAACTCAAGCCTTAAGGTTCATAAAAGAATACATACTGGGGAGAAACCCTATGAATGTGATGTGTGTGGAAAAGCCTATATCTCACATTCAAGCCTTATCAACCATAAAAGTACCCACCCTGGCAAGACACCCTATACGTGTGATGAATGTGGGAAAGCTTTTTTCTCAAGCAGAACTCTTATAAGCCATAAGAGAGTCCATCTTGGGGAAAAACCCTTCAAGTGTGTTGAGTGTGGGAAATCTTTTAGCTACAGCTCACTCCTTTCTCAACACAAGAGGATCCACACAGGGGAGAAACCCTATGTATGTGATTGGTGTGGGAAGGCATTCAGGAACAGCTCAGGCCTCACAGTGCATAAAAGAATCCATACAGGTGAAAAACCCTATGGATGTGATGAGTGTGGAAAGGCCTACATCTCACACTCAAGTCTTATCAATCATAAAAGTGTACACCGTGGAAAGCAGCCCTATAATTGTGAGTGTGGGAAATCCTTCAATTACAGATCTGTCCTTGACCAACATAGAAGGATCCATACTGGAAAGAAGCCATACCGATGTAGTGATTGTGGGAAGGCATTTAATATCAGATCAAATCTTACCAAGCATAAAAGAATCCATACTGGAGAGGAATCTTTAAATGTGACAAAGATGGAAAGTCATAGTGGACTATTCCAGAAGAGAATCTATGAAGGAGGGAATGTTCTCGATGGGACCAGGATGCAGATGCCTGTGTGGGAGGCAGAGCCTATCAAGTCTCAAAGAATTCATATGGAAGAAAAACTTTATGAATGTAAGAATTTCTGAGGTCCTTAATCAGTTTTCATAGTGGAAGAGAATGCTACATAATCCTGAATAATTCTATTTGATTCAGTCATAGCAAGGAAGGCTCTAGTGTCATAGTAGTTGAGCCCTTTAGGAATATACAATAGCACTAGGTATAAAAACCCTTCAGAGTGATGGAACATTAAAAGAAATCCTCAAAGCAAACATACACATTTCTGGACATAAAACAAGACGATAAAGACTTCAATTGCATAGTCACCACTAAAAAGATCCTATGTGAGTAAATTAAATGAAATGTAGAAAATTCAGGTATAATTTTGAATCTCAATTATACTTTGGTCAGTGGTAAAAATTCTAAGAGCCTCCAACAGGCAAATTCAGGGAGAGAAAGGCTTCAGGGAATATAAGTTTATTAGTGATCATGAATTATAAACTGCATAATAATTTAATGGTTTGGAGAGAGTGGATGACAACTTCTGAAACAAATGAGATTTCCTTGTAGGAAAAGAAAAATAGTAATAAATCTAAACAGGAAGTAGGAAAGAGCTGCTTAAATATGCAGATTTATTGGAATGTACTGTTACACCATGTGAATTATTAAAAGTTCTAGAGTTTCAAATATACTCCCTTAATAAGAAATATATGATAAATGAAAACCTGGAAGGTGGCATTCACACATTCTAAGAGAATGAAAAGGATTTCGGCATCTTCAATAAAAGAACACATCTTCACAAATTTGCACCTTACAGAAAAAAATATTCAGGGAATCCTATGAATAAAAATGTTGTAAAGGAAAACATTGTATTGTAAGAGCTGAAATGCCAAGTAGGCATCAGTTATTGAGAGAGGAGGAAATTTGTGGTTTTAAAACAATCTTGTTAAGTGTTAGTTTCAGAGTGTGTTGTGAAGATTTCATGTACTACATGTGTATACTGTTTGTTGTAAAAATATGAATACATTGTTCAGGACTCTCTTTGCCATGAAGACCAGATAGTTGTGGCAAGGTAAGGTGAAACCCCAATAAAGAAATGCCTCAAATGTAAACAGGCTCTGTTTAGATGGAATAATGTATAGAGCCAGTTGGGTGTTCTTTTTTTCTTTGTGGTATGTTATAAAAGATCCCAGTCCAGAGAAACTCTTGCTTTCTCTTTGGCGACTCATCCACAGAGCTAATAATTGGTTTCACCAGAAATTAGATGGTGCTTGTCCCAGGAAGAAGCACAGATGAATTTTGAGGAGACCATAAGTAAGCAATATGACGAGGCAGTGAAGACTGCGCACCTCAGTCACAGAAGTGGGTTCTACCAAGTTAAGCTTCACCCATAGTATTCCTAGACAGGTTTTTGCCAGTAGAAGGTGAATTCTCAGTTTGGTCTCTGACTTAAGAATTTTGTCAGTAAAAAAGTACAATCTGCAGCCCAGACTGATTTCTGTGTCTTTCAAGAATTCCTCTTTCCAGCCAAGTAATTTTTATGCCTCCCTGTGGGAGTACTAGAGAATGTTTTGTCTTTCCCCAAATCCTGATCAGTAGGTTTTGATAGATAGGTGAAGAAAGGGGCAAAGTATCTTTTGCTACTCAACTCTGCAATGTAATAACCACAGTGCATTGTGTTCTTTGCATGTCTGTCCACAGGCTGAGGTTGGTTTACTCAGCAAATACTTGTTGAGAATCTGCTAGGCACAACCTACTGCCCTAAAGCACCGAATAGCTAGAGAAAGGGAGCAGGAATTAGAAAAAGACTGCAAACAAAATTCCACTCATATGACCTCTAAAGATGTTCAGAGGGAAGTGACCATGGCCAAACAGAGGGTGGTATGGATATTAAATTGGGTTTTTCTGAGAAGGGTGAGAATAAAACAGCCTGAACAAAGGCAGCAGAATAATTGTTCAGATCCTTCATAGTGATTTGTGACAGGGCTGATGTATAGTGGGCAGAAAGGAGAACACAGGGTATCCATTCCCAGTAGTCAATGGGAATGGATATGACTTCATTTGCTAAAGACAAGACCATCTCTGGCTTATTAAACAGTCCTGTTAACCTGAGGCTTCCATGTGCCTTATGGACACAGCAGCTGGTGTGCTTGTGGCTTGAGTCACTCCTCTCTCCCTCCTGTCCCTACTCTCATGTGAACTGTAATCAGACCTAAGGCACTATCTAGTTTCAGGAGTGACACAGGTAAAGATTGTTGAGGTTGGTCACCGTTGTGGTGCTGTGGGTGAAACCAATGGCTTTGCATTAGCTGTCACCAGCATTCAGTGCACTGGAGTAATCAGGATCCCCATCATCTAAAAAGAGACTGCAGGGATGTACCTCATTTGTGCACTGACTGCTGGTGACAGCTAATGCAGCCCCATCTATCCAGACATTGGAAATAGGCTCATGGCCTCTTGGCCTGGCCTTGAGTATACCAAGCACATAGCAGAACTCAGATGTGTAAGGGTCTCCTAGTTTCTAGCTGTCTCATGACAACCACATGGTGCAGATCCAATGATCTACTCACCTAAGCCTCCTTGAACCAGTCACGAGTGTGATTAGTGATCATTCTTATCCTTTCCATAGAGTGATACACAAGGCAAAACAGCAGAAATGCCAGGTTTTAAGCGGACTGAGAAACCCTTTAGAGCCAGCTTACAAGGCTGAAGAGAGAATTAATGTGCTGGGTGTGTTAGAGTGACCACATTCTTGTCTAGAAAGAGTCAAGATACTTAACTCTAGATTTTATAGCCAGATGTGCATGGGATGATATAGACAAGTTAACAAAAGCTTAAAAAATCAGGTGAAAAAAGGTGAGACATCCTGTTTCTGGCAAAGGTGGGCTAAAATAGTTGTCGGTTTCCCACTGAAAATAAAATTGTATTTTTAAAGGTGTGTAGTATTCTGTGTAATAGACTGATAGAATAAATTATAAATTACAGGTCTAATATCAGGATACCCTTGGGTTACATGCCTGGTTAGAATCCATTTCCTGGGTCATAGATGTGACCTCACTGCATCCTCACGTGGTTGAGCAAGGAGTTGTGAGCCTCCTTTATAAGCTCACTAATTCCACTCATGAGCTTTCCACTCTCTTTGACATAATCGCCTCTCAGAGGCCCAAGTTTATACCATTATACTGATGATGAGGTTTATACAAATTTGGAGAGCACCAAGCCTGAAAAGGCAGTAGGTAACCCCAAGACAGTTCAAGAATGAAATATTGGGGGGAGGGGGGCTGAAGAGTTGGCCCAGCAGTTAACATTTTACTGCTTTTGCAGAAGGACCAGAGTTCTGGCTCACAACCCCCTGTAACTTCAGCTCTGGGGGGAATCTTATGCCTCTTTCTTTTGCTTTCGTAGGCACCTTCACTCAGTGCACATACCCACACAGAGACGTGTATATACACATTATTTTAAAACTTTTAAATGGGATCCTGTAAGTAGGAAATGCAGCTTGCTGTGGACTGCTAATGTTTCTCTGGGTGACTTGCAGAAGTTCAGGGTGAATCCCACCCATAAGTGATGAATGGGAGACCTTTGAAAGTTGAGTTGTCAGCATGCTACACCCTCAGGACAAAATCAGAGTTGAGGCCCTTAAGCCTGTGTCCTCCAAGTGTAGAGAGAGTGGCCTTAGTGGGCAGAGTAGTAGAAAAACTTAAAACACCCTTGACAAGCTTTACCCAGGTTCAGATATTTACAACTTGAGACTTGGCAGGTACAAATGAGTAACACTGAAAAATCTTTCCCCTTTTATGGCAAAGTCATGGTGTATCCTAGGCTGCCCTCTAAATCACAACCTTCCTGCCTCCACCTCCCAAGTGTGGAGGTTACAAGTTTGTGCCTCTACACCCAGCTCCCGTAAATCATTCTTTGGGTAGTAATCAGCAAGCAAAGATAATCGGGTACATTGGAAAAGGCAACATATGTGAAAACAGAAACATACCTAATAGATTTCCTGCACTGAATTATAAGGTATATTTATGAAAATATCTATGCTCAAAATATTTAAAGATATGCTTGTCAACAGAGTAGAACACAAGAATAGGATTAGTGAACTGAAAGACATGATGAAGTTGCCAAATGGAGCATTGAGTGGGCAAATAGAGGTGTAAGGGAAAGTTTCATTGGGAATTTTTTCTAGTGGAGGGAGAAGTTTTTAACATACACCCAGTCATGAGGAAAAGGAAGGAACTAAACTGGAAATTTTCTAGAATTGGTGAGCCTGTAGATACAAATTGGTCTCAAAGAATATGAAGTAGGCTAAATTTATAAAAATCCCAGATACAGACATCATAGGGTAACTGCAGAAAATTAGAAAAAAAAAAAAATCTTAGTTGAAAACAGGAAAAAAATTACCATGAAAGAAACCAAATTCTTCACTGGTAACAAAGAAGTGTGGACTAAATTGTCATCATAAAGATAAAAAGTAGTTGTTAACCTAGAATCTTCCATTAAAGAGAATAAACACCAGTGAGGACAACATAAGCACAGTTAAGAAACAATGAGTCTGGCATGGTGTGCATGCCTTTAGTCCCAGGGGCAGAGATGGGTGGATCTCTGAGATTGAGGCCAGTCTGGTCTACATAGTGAGTTCCAAGCCAGCTGGGGCTACAGGGAGACCCTGTATCAACAAACAAATACACCAAACAATGGTGTCTTTTTTTCACTGGAAAAGAGAAAAAACTTCACCCATCTTCTGCAAATGCCACTGAGGGAAACTAAAGATCACATTAATCCTAAAGGGAAGATTGGTCCCACATGGGTTCTGAGGGAAAAAATAATGAGCAAAGACAGTGGGTAGTGTGAATGTAAGGAAACATCTTACTCAAGACAAAATCTAAAGATAGGCTTACCTGGAGAAATAACAAATGAAAAGGAGGTAAAAAGAAATGAGTTCTTTGAGAGCAAAAGTTTTTATTCATCTCATGCATAATACAAATCTAGGGGAACCATAAAATAGTGTAATAGAATAATAATCTCACTATTAGAGAAATTTATTTAAAAGGAGGAGCAAGAAAAGAATATGAGACAAAAATTACAATAGAGGCTCTTCCCTTAGACTCATACAGGGAGGGGATCACTGGGAAGCAGACTTGGACTGTCTGCATCAGGACATTAAGGAACTGGACATGGTTTTTGCAGGGGAGTTTCCAGTCTGGGAGGACCATCTAGGACTCTTCCCAACTTCAGCTGAGGACCTTTACCCACTCCAGAAGAAAAAACAGTGATTTGTCTTCCCATTGAGAAACTTTGCATTTCGATTAGACATTTCTCAAGCCGTGAATAATATCGGTTTTGCTTAGACAACAGTGAGTGAAACTCATGCATAGAGGCAAGAGTGCAGTAGCTAAGCATGGTTTCTCCACCGTGAAGCCTAGCTTTAAATGAGGACTCACTCCCAGCTGCCTCAGGCTAGGAACTGAACCACCATTTATGCTTCTATGTCCTTGCCTGTCTTCTGCCAGGATCATAATAGTAATCTTAACAATTGTAATGAGGTAGAAAACTCATAGTTACAGTCCTAAGAAAAGCTCTTGAAGGAGAAGAATGTACATAGGATTTATCAAGCTAGTTTGGCCATGTAGCAGCTCTTGTCCAAGGACTGGAACATCAAGATACTCAGATAATAGAAGACAATTCTCAACTGAAAGTCAAGAAAATTTTTCAAGGACCTCTCCACATTCAGATAAAACTTGAAAAGAGATGCAAGAGAAGCAAAGTTTTGGATATGGCTTCTTGCTGGTATTCTTGCTTCTATTATTTTTATTTTATGTGTATGAGTATATTGTCTGCATGTAGTAGGTGCCCCCATGTCGTGCAACGCCTGCAGAGGTCAGAAGACGTTGTCGGATCCCCTGAAACTGCAATTGTGGACAGTTGTTAGCTGCCATGTGGGTGCTGGCAATTGAACGAGGTCCTCTGCAAAAGCAGCCAGTGCTTTTAACTGCTGAGCTATCTCTCCAGTCCTATTCTTCCTTCTAAATAAACAATCTATTGTTTCTGAGTAAACATGCTCTGTCTGTGTTCAAGGTTCAGCAGAAAGCCCCAGCTTGGGCCCAGCAACTAAAAGTACTGGGTAGGTAAGGGATGCTCCAGCTTGTTTTTCCGGCTTATGCAGCCTTAAGGCAACCTGCACACCTACACTGTATACATTTTTCTTCCCCTCCTTTCATTTTCTAATCTTGTGACTTTTGATGGGATTTTTGTTTTTTTGTTTTGTTTTGTTTTTGCTGTTTTGTTGTTTCTTGACAATTCTCAGATATGCTAGAGATTACTCAAAAGGAGTTGGTGGGTGCCAAGCTCTCACTATCTTAACCGTGGCTGTTTTTAGCAATTGCCCATTAAGCTCTACAGAGGTAAGAGTGAGCCCTGCAGTTATGGTGAAACTCTGAAGAGAGGCAGGTAGAGTTCCTCTTGAATACAAACTTAGGGCCAATGTTCAGTCATTACAGTGACTGAATTTATTTCTTGTTCTGCCTACAATTTTCTCATCTTTAAAATAAGAGGGGAAACCCCAGTAATAAAATTACTTTAAGGATTAATGAAAAGGGACCAGCAAGAATGCTCAACAGGTAAAGCAGGACAACCAGAGTTTGATCCCTGGGATAGACCTACAGTGTAGAAAGAGAACTGATTCCTACAAATTGTCCTCTGACCTCCACATCTCTCTCTCTCTCTCTCTCTCTCTCTCTCTCTAACAACTGTCCCTAACTCCAGCTTCAGGGGAATCAGTCGCCCTCTGCTGACCTCCGCAGGCATTGCATGTCATTGGTACACTTTCACATATGCAGGTAATACACTCACACACACACACACACACACACACACACAATTTTTCTTTAAAATTAAGGGTTAATGAAAAGGAATCCTGCATTAAAAAATACATTTGTTTATTTGTGTATATGTATATATGGGCTCAAGGGGGCTGCTACAGCATGCATGTGGATTGAACCTTTTTAACCACGAGTCCCAGGGATTGAACATAGATCATGAGGCTTAGCGCCAAGCAGCTTTACATGCAGAACCATCTTGAAGGCCCTTGTTTTGTTTCTGATGCAGATCTCTGTAGCTCTGGCTGGTCTGGAACTCATTATATAGACCAGGCTGGCCTCTACCTTGCTATCCTTCTGCCTCTGCCTCCAAGTGCTGGGATTACACGTACGTGCCAGCGCTCCCAATAAAGCTTGCATTTTATATGAAAAATACTGTTCAGACAGTTGCTTACACGGAGCTTCTGCCACGCAGCACTGCTGGCCTGCTTGTCTGAATTCTAACTCAGCATGATATTTTCTGTCCCTTTGGATACCAGCCAAAAGCCCAAGCATGCTTTGCTGACTCTGGGCGTTCTTACTCGTTCTTGGAAGCACCCACCTTCTGATCACACTGCTGAGCTCCCCTGCTTTCTTGGACCCGTACTCAGCAGGCATGGCTATCTTTTCAGCTGGCTTGCCCCGTTGTTTTCCTTTCAAACTAATAATGTTGTCCTTGAGTTTCATGAGAAAAAAATACCACACAAACGTTGTTAAATTGGCTAATGTTTCTATTTTCAAAAAGTTGAAAGATAGAGAGCAAACATTAGTGAAACAAAACAACATAATAGAGATCAACACGGTCAAGGATGGTACTTTGGCAACAAATGTAGGAAAATTGGTAAACTTTTGATGTCATTGAACAAGAAAATCCAGAAAAATACAAATAATCAAAATTGGAATTGAAAATTAGGAAATCACAGTAGACATCCCATGAGGGGTTTAGAAGTGTATTTTTAAACTTCCTAACATATGGCACTTTTGTTATTCCATTGTGTTTAGAAAATGTACTCTCTGTGTTTGCTGTCCTTAGAAATGTGCTGAGATTAGCTTTACAGCCCAGACGCTAACCTTCAATTATTATTATGTTTCAGTTGTAGGCTTTTCATGTGCTTTCGTTTTATAGTAAGATTCTTATTTTTTCCTTAATGATTTCCTGGGTTGTTTTTGTTTAGAGGGAAGTTAAAAGTGAGTGAGTGAGTGTGTGTGTGTGTGTGTGTGTGTGTGTGTGTGTGTGTGCACTTGTATGAGCACACATGCACGTGGAAGCCAGATGACAATCTTAAGTGTCATTCCTTAGACACTGTCCATCTTATATTGAGATAAGGTCTCTCACTGGCCTGGATCTCACACTCACCAAGTAAGTTAGACTGTCTGGTCAGCAAGTACTAGGGATCCGCTTGACTCTGCATGCCCAGCACTGGGATTAAATGCACATACCACCATGCCTGGCAATTTTCTATGTGGGTTCTAGGGAATCAAACTCAGGCTCTCATGCTTGCAAGGCAGGTACTTCACTAGCTGAGCCATCTCCCCAGGCCCTAACATAGTTGGTTTTAACAGCTGTGTTTGAGGCCAGCTGCAGGAACAAACGGGCTTCCTCTGATTCTGGTTTCTTGGTATGCCACTGATCCTCCTCATTAGATTCTCCCTCTCCAGATATTTAGAGTGGGTTCTTTCCTAATTGAATTCTGACAGATTGGCTATACTCTGCAAAGTCTGGCTACACTCTGCAAGCTCTGGATATACTCCGCAAGCTCTGGCTACACTCTCCAAGCTCTGGATATACTCTGCAAGCTCTGGCTATACTCTCCGAGCTCTGGATATACTCTGCAAGCTCTGGTTACACTCTGCGAGCTCTGGCTACAGTCTGTAAGCTCATGACCATGAGCCCTACAACTTTCTACAGAATTCTTTCACAGCTTTCAGGACTTCTTTATAATTTATTGTCAGGAAAAGGGAACTTGACTCAGGAGCTATGGAAGTTGTGATCTAAAACCAAGATTAAAGATTATTTATTTTATGAGTATATGAGTGTTTTGCCTGCATGTATGTAAGTACATCTATGTCATGCAATGCCTGTGGAGGCCAGAAGAGGGTGTTGGATCCCTTAGAACTGGAGTTTCAGATGGCAGTTAGATGTCATGTGGGTGCTGGGCACCAATCCCAGGTCCTCTGCAAGAGCAGTCAGTGCTCTTAACAGCTGAGCTATCTCTCTAGCCCCTAAAAACCAAGATTCGAAAAAGTGAATTCAACTGGAGAAAAATTACCCTTCTCAAATTCTTCAGGCCTTAGTAAAAGTTGTGGGTTTTGGGGGGAGGAGTCATTGCCATCCTCCCCATTTTGATTCAATTTATCTCTTACCCAGCAGCTTCATCTTCCTACAAAACAACCTCTGAGATAAATCTGTTAATAGTCCTGGCATCTGGATGTTAGCTATCTGTTAATAGTCCTGGCATCTGGATGTTAGCTATCTGTTAATAGTCCTGGCATCTGGATGTTAGCTATCTGTTAATAGTCCTGGCATCTGGATGTTAGCTATCTGT